TTTGACAGCAAAACATCAGTGAAACAGAATATTAGCTTTCTGGATTCCTCCTACAGAAATGCCATCTGGAACTGAAACGATTTTTCTGGTAGCTGTAATGGGAGAATTCGTAACTGGAATGTTGGGGAATGGGTTCATTGTATTAGTTAATTGCATTGACTGGGTGAAGAGTCACAAACTCTCAACAGCTGACTATATTCTCACCAGCCTGGCTCTCTCCAGAATCACTCTTCTTTGGATATCACTAGCTGACTCATTTCTAATGGTGTTGTGGCCACATTTTTACGCCATTGATAAACTAGCAAAACTTATTGGCATTTTTTGGATACTGTGCAATCACCTCGCTACCTGGTTTGCCACCTGTCTAAGCATTTTCTATTTCTTTAAAATAGCCAATTTCTCCCACCCCTGCTTTGCCTGGCTGAGGTGGAGAACTGGCAAAGTGCTTCTTGTGCTTTTCCTGGGGTCTTTGTTCTTCCTGTTTTTGAAACTTGTGTTATTAGATTCATTCAATGGCTTCTGGATTAAAGTCGAAAATATATATGAAAGAAACTCAACATGGTCTCCAAGGATAAGTGAAGCTCTGTATCTTAACAGCTTGATAGTTTCTAATCTTATCTACTTAATTCCCTTTCTTCTGTCTCTGAGTTCACTGCTCCTTTTATTTCTTTCCATGTTGAGACACACCAGGAATGTGCAGGTGAACTCCAGCTCTAGCGACTTCCGCACAGAGGCTCACAAGAGGGCCATGAAAATAGTGTTATCTTTCCTCCTCCTCTTCATACTACATTTTTCTTCCTTTGTATTAACAGGTTGGTGTTTCCTTGTAGTGCAGAAGCACCAGGCCAATCTGGCTGTCATGTTAACATGGACTATTTTCCCTTCGGGCCACTCATTTATCCTAATCTTGGGAAACAGCAAGCTGAGACAAACTGCGTTGGGACTATTGCGGCAAGTTAACTGCCACCTGAAGAAGGGTGAAACCTTAGCTTCACAAACTTTAACAGGACTTTCTATATTCTAGGAGAATTAAATCATTGAAGATACATTTTAACTTCCTTTTCTCACTGGATTCTTTTGGATATAATTGAGCATCACAAACTTTCCTTATAATGGCCTATAAACTAACAATCTACTCGACATTTTTAAGAAGCAAGCATCATTGTCATTATAACACTTGCTAGTAACAAAACAAATTTAGACAATATAAATATAAAGTATATAATGCAGCATGTACTAATTTTATGTGCCCTGGTAAATATTTATTATATTTATATGTAAGGAAAACACATGATTATCTATAATAATAAAAGTGTCATATGCTAATTAGACCGGATGTCCTTCGGAAGACCTTTTGGATGAATCCAGGGCTGCGAGGGAAGGCTGGGTCCCGGGTGCAAGAGAGAAGCCAGTGCCCGCAGCCTGGGGAAGGAAGGCCTACTCTTGCATGAATTTTGTGCATCAGGCCTCTAGTTTAGAAATAAAATCCCTTGCATGCTAGAGCAAATGAAGTATTTTTACAATATTAAGTTAAAAATCAATCAAGGAATAAAAATGCTAGACACACATAATCTCATAACAACAGACATAACTTTTAAAACAAAGAAGCAGACTATCATTAGGAATCCAAGCTAGAGTGAACAGTATCTTTGCTGAATTTAGAAAAGGAAACTGAATAATTATCACTATGTATATAATAAAGTTATATGTATACTCTGCAAAGATCACCTAGACAGTGAGTTTATATGTAGGGTATGTGTGCATGTGAAAATTATATGAATACTGGTGTCCTTGTCAGAGAGGACAAACATGACCAGCTTACCAGGGATAAAAACAGAAAGTTTATAAAAAAAATTCACACATTTGTCTAAGTTTTAGAAATGTCTCTGTGTATATAGTGCTCAGTTGACTTTTTATTAAGTAATTTTAAAATGAAATCAAAGCAACTGAAAATGTGTATAATTTTAAAAACAGCAGGTAGTAAAATTGTGTTTGCTAATGATATTACAATGTTGAAGTTTGCAATAAAGTAATTTTAGAGATTATGATTGTAAACATGGTAAAAACAACAACAACAAACCTAACTATTAATAATGAAATCTTTGCTAGGGTTTACAACTGCCTTATTTCTCAGTGGTAGAAGCTCACAAGAAACTAGAAAATAAATGTTGACTGCATTTGGGTTATAAGTTAATTTTGATGGGCCTGTAGGTCAAGTCTGAAGCTGGGAGGAATATAAAAACCCTAAGGGCTTTGTAAAGTGTATTCTTGTTCCATGGGACTGTGCCATGGGGTGCTCTGATGTGTCCATGAGGAGGAGGATGACACATGCACATACAGACCTACATAGAGATTGAGATTTTTAAACTGTATTCATTATGTTGGACACTATGTAAGACATTTTCTGAGAGGGGATGGGGATGGTGGTCAAAACATAAACTTCCAGCCGGGACCGGTTTGGCTCAATGGATAGAGCGTCGGCTTGGGGACTGAAGGGTCCCGGGTTCGATTCCAGTCAAGGGCATGTACCTTGGTTGCGGGCATATCCCCAGTAGGGGGTGTGCAAGAGGCAGCTGATCGATGACTCTCTCTCATCGATGTTTCTAACTCTCTCTCTCCCTTCCTCTCTGTATAAAATCAATAAAATATATTTAAAAAAAAAAAAAAAAACACACACACACACACACACACACAAAACAAAACAAAAAAAAACACATAAACTTCCAGTGATAAGATAGATAAGATTATACTGGGGGATATAATGAACAACATGACTAGAAATAATTAACACTGCTTTATGGTATATTTGAAAGTTTCTAAAAGAGTGGATGGATCTTAAGTATTTTCATCACAAAGAAATAGGTATCTTGGGAGTGTTTATATGAGATGATGGATGTTAACTACACTTAGTGTGGTAATCATTTCATAATATATGTAAGTCAAGTCATTATGCTGTATATCTCAAACTTACACAGTGTGTATGGCAATTATATCTCATAAAATGGAAAGAAAAAAATAAAAATAAACTTCCTAATGATTGTACCTGTGGTTATCTTGCTTTTGGAAAGGTGAAATTCTAATCACATTGGCTATACATAGATTCAGATATTGAGGAAAGTTTGGCTTAGAAAGTATCCCTTTCAAAAAATGGTTAAAGCTTACCTTGGACTTATTAGAAGTAAGCATATATCAAGCAGGCTAATTTTTAATTCTCAGATTGACCAGTCAAGGTGGGTACTTTGCCATCATTGAATAGTTGAGGACACTGGGGCTTAGGCCGAGTAATGGACTCACCTGACAACAAAATTAAGACTTTGCATTTGAAGAGGTCTGCTGATTTAAAAACTCAATTCTTTTATTCTGGTGGTTCTTAACCAGGGGTGTGCATTTCAATTACCTGATCAATTTAAAAAAATAAAATTTAAATTCATTTTTAATCAAAGAAATAAAGAGAAATCAAAATAATACTGTTAGACTGGTAGTAGAAAACTTATCTTCCAACCTTTTCTCTTTCCACCTGATTTTTTTTTCTTCAACCACTTTTAACTCTTGGCTGCCTCCAATTGCAGTTTTTTTTGTTTTTTTTTAATAACATGTCCAATATTGCTTTTTTTATTGACTGATTCTCCCAATTACACACACCTCTCCACTCCAACTCCTCCCCCCTCCAAATGTTACACAATCATGTCATATCCATATTCAGTGCTAGCATAATTATGACTGACTGTATGATTAGTGTTATTCACAGTTGAGGTATGCAATGTAGTTCCTGAACAAGTTTTTTTTGGGGGGGTTCATAATTGCCTCAGCTTTGTTTTCTTATTAAAAAAATAAAAATAAAAATCTTCAGACCACTAATTCATCTTCAGACTCCCTGAAACACTAAAAATCTCAACTCTATATTCAAATATACCAGACATTGTTTTTCTTTTGAGACACTCCATCTTTAAGCATTTATTGACTTACTGCTGTTCTCTTCCACTCTCCTCCCTGTTTAACAGTTACATTGCTATTTTAGCAACCTTATTCTCACAAAATGTCTTCCTTCCTCTTGAACAAGATTGTTATCTCTCAACTCCCCACTTTACATAAGACACCACTGCCACCCATGTACCTCCTCTCCTCCCTCCAATATCCCCCTGAAAACCGTACTTTTACATGATCACGGGTGACGACATCTGTAACCATGATTACGTATTCTCTGAAAAGAAAAAAAGACGATAAACAACATTTGCATAAATTATTATGATTATTTAAATGTGATTCATTAAATAGCCAAGCTGATTTCCTTTTCTTTGGCACCAGGGTCTCGGAACCGTGCCACTCACAGAGAAACTGTCACATAGGGTCCACTTTCTTGCACTCCAGCCCTCTGTTCAACACCCTGCAGCCTTTTTCATTGTTGATTATCAGAAGGATGCTTTTCCTGTACAGTTTATTTTTATTTTTTTTATTCTCACTGAAAACTTGATTGTCATTTTCTCTTGGGAGAATGAAGAAATACATGCCTCCCACATCAAATCCTTAAGATCTTCAGGCTTCTTACTCATTCAATATTTTGCTTGGGAGTCCATCCAAAATTCCTGATACTTGTGATTTTTTTTTTTTCAATCTTAGTTTGAACCATCAGCTTGTTGTAGTTTACATTTTCTTTCCCCCCCCTGAAAAATGTAGTCGCCGTCTGTTTTGGATACAATGCATCCCGCTCGTCGTCCTAATTTTGCTTTCAGGATGCACAGCTTCTGCAATAGCGTCGTGGGCCTTCATGACATTCCTCCCTGTGGCTGGAAATCTCGTCGATTCCCTCCAGTCCCGGTGGGATTTCCGAGACCGGCGGCCGCTGAGAGCAGAGAGCGCAGCCGCGCAGGGCGTCCAGCCAACTCTCGCGAGACCGAGGGCCCCGCATCTGCCGCCGCTCCACTCCGCTCCCGCCGCGGGGCCTCCTGGGAGTCCGCCATAGTGCCAGCCCACAGACCGTTAGCGTAGCCGCGACTCTAAAAATGTACCTGCAGGCGGATGTTGAGGATCACGGAGCCCGCGACGTAGAAGTAGGGGAAGTTGGAGCGCAGCTGCCAAGCCAGCTCGAAGAAGGCGAGCAGGGTGCGGGAGAGCCCCTTGCAGAACACCCCGTAGGAGCTGGGGGCCGCGGCCGGGCTCGGGACCCCGAGCGCCAAGGAAAACGGAGCCGCCACGGGGGCCATGGCCGTGGCCTCGGGGCCGCCGCTCGCCTAGTGCTTGGTGCCGAGGGAGGGACGCGGAGGGTCACCGCAGGCTCCCGCGGGACCGGACCGATGGCCGGGACGGCGAAGGTGGGGGGCAGGCGCTAAGCTGTCGCCGTGTCCCCTCGGCGGTGCTGCCGCTGCCTCCGGTGCGGAGCTGCCAGTCAGCCGCTGGCGCCCCGCCCCTTCCTGTCTCCTGTTAGCTTTAGAGTCGAACACGTGGTAGGTACAGGTTTTTTTTTTTTTTTTTTTTTTTTTTTTTTTTTTTTTTTTTTTTTTTTTTTTTTAAAGATATATAGTGCTACACGTTATTACATATCACACGTATGGACAGCCATAGAGATATCATTTTCACTTTAAGATGAAAGTAAGCTTAGAAGGGGAAATAACAAGAAATTAAGTATGTTAATGTTTGGAGAGTTTTTTTTTTTTTGTTTTTTTTTAATCTGTTCCTATTTTTCCTTTGGAGTTTCTTGTATTCTAAAACATATCCCTAGAATCGAAATTTTCCTATATGCCTAGAAATAAGTACATAATTTTAATTACAATTTTACAATGTTATAATAAAGTCAATGCAGTTTTTAATTGCTCAAAGCCACCTGAAAAATACCACAAACGATTGTTCTTCAGGATTTGCCCATTACTTGTACTTGTCCCTTATTGTTAGTTACAGAAAACTTTGCTCCTAAATAAGGAAAACTTTAAAAGTCGGGTAATTTTTTTTGGGGGGGAGGGCGGGGGAGACTGAGGACCATTAAGCAAAATTTCTCAGCTGCAAATAATTGTTTTTAGAATCCAACAATATTAACTTCCTTGCTTCCTTCTTCTTTGCTGTAGTCCTTCCTTTCCTTTCTTCCAGGAACTGTAATCCTCCAACTGTGTTCTTTTATAAAAAAATACTTCTGGCTATTTTGGGCACTTTGCATAGTCATGTACATTTATGAATTTTCACTCACTGCCCTTAGAGCCTGCTGGGATTTGATAGGGCATTGCACTGAAAATACAGATGAAATCTCTACCTGAAAAGACTCTCCTCTTTCCAGATCTTAGTTCAATTGGCCTTGCTCAGCTTTCAGATGAATTTAAAATATAACTTTGACAATTAATTCCCTTTATCTTGGTGTTTACTGGAGGAAATCTTGCTTTTTTACTGCTACATTGTACTCAAAAGCCTATACTCTCTGAGGTTAACTCTGAAGTATCAAGGCTCTGAAGTAACATAGGCTCAAATGAATAACAATTCTTAGTGACTGATGTATTTATTAGGCACAATTGGAAGCACTCTGTATAAATACAGGTTGTCCCCCCAAATATGTATACCTACTTTAAACACTGCCTTTATAATTATTTAAATTGTGTGCATACATTTTTTGGGGGGATGTCCTATAGTGTACTTATTATTCACAAAGACCACCCAAAGAGGGTATCAATTGTTTTCTGACTTTCTACTGATGATTATACGAAGACAGTTTTAAAAGAGTCCAAGATCAGAGATATACAAAGCAGAGAATCTGTGTTTTCTGTTCTGTTCTGGCAGTCTGAGTCCAAGATCCTCTGCTAAACACCATCATTATACAATAAAAATTGTAACTGAGTAAAACTCAAATGTAGAGGCTGGTTTTAACACCTATTAATCTTTTAAAAAGTAAGTCGTAAAAAAAGAATTAAACAGAGAACAATAAAACCATATGTTTATATATAGGAGTCTGGAATCTGCAATGAAAAACAGATTCTTTTGAAGTACTTAATATTTACAAAATTTCTAAATATTTAAATTAAATATTAATATTTAACCCTTTGCACTCCGCTGCCCCCTCTCAGGGGACATTGGAATTCTAGCATATCACTCGGATGTCCCCTCTCAAGGGGGACATTTCAGTTTATTAGTGATTACGGGGAATTGAGTTAATTCAACGCACGTTTCCGCTGCAAAGTAGCGTCGAGTAGCTGGTAGCCAATGACCAGAATGGTTCGGAGTGCAAAGGGTTAAATATTAAATGGACTCAAAAAGGAAACTTTTATCAAAGACCTAAGCATGAAAGATATGTATGATAGCTGTTAATAATGGATTGGAAGTCCGTTTGGGAGAAAAATTCAAATTTAAACATAAATGACCTCCTGACACTAATTTTGCATTTTGGAAAGTATAGAACATTCTATCCATTAGATGTACATGTATTTGTCTGAGTTAGTGGGGATGTGTTTATGAGTTTGTCGATAATATAGTTATGCAATAGTATTAATTGTAAGCGACCAGCTTTTATAGTATTCCTGATTAAATCTATGATGTTTTTGATAGGAAAAGCTTGAATTTTTTCCACATAATTCTAGCATTAAAAAAAACTCATAGTGAGGACTCCCTAGTTATGACCAACCTCTATCTAATAGTGTAGACATTCACTGTATATTGGGTTTTTAATTTTACTAATAAACAACTAATGTTGAACAGAAATTGTGGAAGGTCAAACAAGGAAAAAATTGCAAAACAATATGTCTTATTTGCATCCTAGCAAATGAGAATTCAGCTTTCACTTCAACATCAGTTAAGAAATAATCCAGCCAGTGGCAGAGAGACACACTGTTTAAATGGGAGTCCATGGAAAACAATATGTTCCATAAAGATAGCATTGAACTTTTCTGTTAGCCTACCCTGAAGCTTTCCTTGGCATTGGTCACAGAATTGGAACCAGAAATTCACTGCAAATTCAGAAAACAACTGCACATTGAATTTAAGGTCAGAATATTAAAAGAATCACGACCAGTGATATTAGGCTTGGATTTCTTTTTCTTTTTCAGAAATGGCTTTACTACGAATCATTCTTTCCAGCCTATTAACAATACAGTGTGTTCTAGGATATTTTGCCAATGGCTTCATAGCACTGATGAACTGCATGGACCGGGTAAAGAGACAAAAGATGTCCTGTGCTGATGGAATTCTCACTGGTCTGGCTGTCTCCAGAATTGGTTTGCTCTGTATACTAACATTAAATTGGTATGTATCTGTGTTTAATCTACCTTTCTATAGGTTAGAAGTAAGACTTATTGTTCACATTATCTGGATAGTAAGCCACCATTTTAGTGTGTGGTTTGGTACTAGCCTCAGCATATTTTATTTGCTCAAGATAGCCAATTTCTCCAGCCTCTTATTTCTTCACCTAAAGTGGAGAGCTGAAAGAGTGGTTCTCATGATACTGGTGGGACCTTTAGCCTTCTTGGTTTTTCATCTTACACTGCTAAGCATAAATGAAAAAATGGAGATGAATGATTATGGAAGAAACAACACTTGGAAGACCCACTTGAGGGACATTATGCAACTTTCAAATAATACTGTATTCATTCTTGCAAACATCATACCTTTTACTATGTCTCTGACATCTGTTCTGCTGTTGATCTTTTCCCTGTGGAAACATCTGAAGAAGATGCAGCTCAGTGACAAAGGACTCCAAGATCCCAGCACTGAGGTCCACGTAAGAGCCATGCAAACTGTGATCTCCTTTCTCTTGCTATTGGTCATTTTTATCTTTGCTCAAATCATCTCAGTTTGGAATTCAAGTACTCAGCAGAACAATTTACTTCATATGGTTTGCAAGGTTCTTGGAATCCTGTATCCAACAGGCCACTCATTTATCCTGATTTGGGGGAATAAGAAGCTGAGACAGGCCTTTCTGTCATTTCTGAGGCAGGTGAGGTGCTGGTTGAAAAAAGGGAAATAAGGGGGCACCTGTGCCTTCTGACAGAAAACGGGCTGATGGAGTCCTTAACGTTTTGTGCTTCCTACTACATTTCTTAATGTGTAGAGCATTGGGTAAGTTACACCTAGAAAACCGTGTACTTATGTTTATCACAAAAAATATATGTGTGTGCATGTTTATGACAAAAAAGCATAAGATTACCATTTTAAATGTAAGCAATATAGTTTTACAAAATAGTGTAATAAATTCTTCAGAATCATGAAGTCATGTATTTCACATACATATTCTATGTTATCCTCTTAAAATTGAAGAATTTATGGGGATCCAAGATGGCTGCTCGGGTAGACATCTAGCCGCGGCAGCACACAACAATTTCAATGGAATACAACTAAAATGTAGAGTGGACATTGCCCAGAGCTACAAGTAGTCGACTGACTGAAATTTCTACAAGAAGGAAAGAGAAAACCAGAAGGAAAATCAGAGGAGCTGAAAAAAAGCCTAAGGTACGGAGACATGCTGCGCGCGCGCCCGCCCGCCCGCACGCCCGCCCGCACGCACGCACGCACGCACGCACGCACGCACGGAGAGGTCGCAGCCGGAGAGGAGGAGAGGGCGGGGAGCTGCCTTTCCTTCCCTAGCAGGAAGGAAATAAAACCCCCAGCCTGGGCTGAACCCCCGAACCGGCAGCGCTGAGCCCCAGTTATGGGCCAGACCCTGGGGACCCAGGCTCCGGTGGGAGGAGAAGGGGCCGTGAGGCGGAAAAACGGCGAAAAGCAGGGCCCCGGGAGTCGCGCGCAATGCGCGCAGAGGACTGAATGCTGACTCTGATGCTGGGTTACCCTAGCCGGGAGAAACAAGGCGGCCGGCGGCGCTGAGCCTCAGTCCGGACTGCTCCGAACCCCAGTTCTGGGCTAATCCCTGGGGACCCAGGCTCAGGCAGAGGGAGACGGGGCTGTGAGGTGGAGTCTGGGGAGAGCGGCGAAAGGCCGGGCCCCCGGGACTCGCGCAAATTGCGCGCAGAGGACAGTCTGTGGGACTCGCGCAAACTGCGCGCAGAGGACAGTCTGTTGACTCTGATGCGGGACTTCTCTAGCGGAAAGGAGAAAAAAAAAGCTCTAGGCTGGGGGAACGCGGAGGGGAGCAGAAGCCCCTGCCGGACTCCAGCCAACCGGGCACCAGCAAGGAGGTGGGCCACGGGGTCCCTGGGGGCGTGGGTGCCCCTGAGCCTTTGACCACTGAGCTCGGGCAATGGAGCCAAGGCCGGGGGCTGCTTCCTGGGCGGCGCCGTCCCGTCCCCGGCAACAGGCTGAAGCAGCGCAGGAGCCCGCGGAGAACAAAGGGGTGCCTGCTGAGCTCCCAGGACAAGGAGGAAGAAACCAAAAGTCAGAACTCAACTCACCAGCCAACATTGCAACA